CTGTATAATACTGTGGTCATGTAATGTATCTAACCTTGTTTGCTTGAATCAAAATTAAATAAAAGCGTGTTTAGTTTGTTTATTTTGATTTTTAACCAAAATAAAATTTTATTTTCCGAAAACCACGAAAAAGTTCAAAGAACAACGCAACAGTATAAATTTTGCCGTCAACGTAGCGATAGTTACTGGCTTATTGCCACAAATATTGGTTGTGGATTTTTAACAGTATTTAGAACTTTAAAAAGAATGAATGACACCGGAACTGCTATTCGAGACTTTGTTCTGATCGACTATCTTTAATTAAAGATTCGCAGTGAAGCCGGCTGAAGCAATTTGTCACAGCGAATTCAAGCTGTGATGAAGCAAATAAAGGCCCGACTAAGTAACTAATTATTTAGTACTAAATGTGTAGCGTATCGTAAATTAATAAATAAATTAATAAATTTTTTTAATAAACTTTAAAATTTTAAGTTTTACATTGAGCTAAAAAGCGTTCAGAGACTTTTGGCGGGGGTCTGTATTCTAATATATATTTTTTTCTCTGTTCTATTAAAATATTTTTTTATTTTTTTTAGTTTTATTTTAAACTTTTAGTTTAATTATTTTTAAATTATCATTTAATTATTATCTATATTATTTTTCTTAATATATTTATTATTACTTTATTATTATTTCTTTTACTCATTTTTTTAATTTTTTTATTTTTTTTATTTTTTTATTTATCTTTATTTTATCTATTTTAGCTAATAATATTAGGTAAAACTGAAATATTTAGTCATATAATAAAATTAAAATTATTTAGTCTTTAATAATTAAAATGCTGAAATGCTAAAATTTTTATTATTATAGATTTTCTATAGATTTTTCATAGATTTTAATTCACAATTTTTAATAATATTTTATTTTACTATAAATTCTAGAAATTTAAAATTTTTGTAAAAAAAAAATACTATATATTATATTTTTATTTACTATATAAGAAGTTTACTAGAAAATTTGAGAAATTTTTAATAAAATTTTGATTTTTTATTATATTTTAGTTTTTGATATTATTAAATTAAATATAGTAAGATTTTAATTTTAGTTAAAAAATTCTTAAAGTCTGATTTTTTAACAAATATCTTATATAAATAATTATTATTTATAATGTTAATTAGTAATATTTTTGATTATATATTTGATTAATAATAAATAATAAAAGATTTAAGTTAAAATTAATAAATATTAACTAATAATATATTCTTTAATAAAAATAAATAAATAAAAATTTATAATTTATATATTATAAAGCAATTTAGTCATTTAGTCATTTGCTAAAAGTTTAGTCAAATATTTAAATTTTAATTAAAAGTTTAATTGAATATAAAATTTAATAAAAGTTTAATCATGATAAAAATAATTTAAACAGGCATTACTAATCTTAATGATAGTATTAAAATTATTTGTATTTATATATTATTAAAGAAATAAATTTGTGATAAAATATAATTTATTTTTATTATTTATTATAATAATTAAATATAATTTAATTATAAGTCTTGTTTACTAGATTTATTTTTTTTTAAAGTTACAGTATCCAGTATTAGAAAACTATTAGTAGATAATACTATTGAAGTGTAAACCTTGACTTATTCTAGACCTCCTCTAAGTTGTGATTAGACATATTAGTTCTAGCTAAAACTCACCTTATAATACTAGTCTGAAGATTGTCATCTAGGTCAACATCCTCAAAAGCTAGCCTTCAGGGTCCCTAAACTTCAAAACTACTATCAAATTTGGATAAAGAGATCACTTCAATCACAGATACTTTTATCAGATTTTTTCCATATTTACCAATACTATATCTGGATCACTATTACCTCTACTCAGTATCAGGATATTTTTACACATAACCGGGAAGGCTTAGATGTTATCATCATTTATAGAACCTCAAAAAGGTAGATAGCTATTGTACCCATATTGTCAAATTCACCCAGGAATTGAACTCAGCCTCTATCCCTAGTGATAGCTCAATTAGATAGTGCTATGATAATATAATGCAGTCTATTATCACTATAACTACTCAAAGGAAGTACTCAATCTACTAATTATTAGTTAACTACTTTCTAAAGACCCTTGAATTTGAAAACGTAAGATAGTACCCATTACAGACCTATTAGCAAAGGCTAAGTTTCTGTTGATCTCTGGCTTCATTTACAACTACTTATTTTTTAAATTTAGTATTTAGGCATGATTAATACTGATCAACAGATTAATTGACCAGTTTCTAACACATATTATTATATACATATACATATTCAATTACATATGAAATTTTTATGAAAATCATCTAGTTTTATGTCTTGACTGAGGCCTAAATCTGTAGCTATTGCAATATAACTCACAATAAGAGTTCAGTTATTACCAACTGAACTAGGAACACTAATTCCTTTCTTATTTACTAGATAAATTTCTATCTTTATTTATATAAATTTAATATTAATCAATTTGTAGATCATTTTTCTAATTTTTATTTCTTTTATTAATATTACTTATTACTATTTTTATTATTATTATTTTTTCTATTCTTTCTATTAACACTTCTCATTTTTATTACAAATGAATTTTATTTTTAAAAGAATTATAATTTATTAAATAATAAAATTATATTAATTTAAAATTATTATTTAATATTTATACAAGTTTTAATAACTTTTATATAGTTTAAAATTTCTATTTTTATTAAAAATACTATATTAAATAAATATATTTTAAAGCATTAAAAAAATATTTTGAAATTTTATTATTTATTTTACAGTAATTTCAGTTATAATAAAATTACAATTTTTTAGTTTTAATTATATATTTTATTAACTAAGTAAATTTATTTATAATAATAAAATTATATAATATATTAAATATCAAATTTATAAAAAAATACTTATTTAAATCATTATAAATTTAGTCAAAAATTAATTTAAAATATAAATAACTAAAAATGATATAGAGCTAATTATTAAAAATAGATATTATAAAAAGTAAAAAAAATCAGTTTGTTTTTTGAAAAATTGACAAGAATTCAACTTAAATTTCATCCGATTTGATAAAAAAATAGCATAATTGTGTTGCAATTTGAGACATAAGTAAATTTTTATAACACAATTAAGTTGCAACTTAATTGAAATTTGAAAATAATTATAAAATCATCTTTATTAATTACAATTAATAATAAATAAACATTATATAATGCAACTAGTTATAATATTATTAAAAATTAAGTTGTAATTAGTTATAACTGGTAATAAATAAGAATCATAAAATTGCAACTAATTATTACACTACCTTAAATATAACAAAATCAATTAAATTAAGATTTGATTAATGAATAAATATAAATATAAATTTATTTATATAACTATAATAACTTGACAATAAAATATTTTGTAATATATTATTATATAAAGAACTGAAGAAAATTGTAATCAAATAATTAATATTTAAAAATAAAATATATTGTTAAGAAACTAAATTTGTTAATATTACTATTAAAGATATTTATATCAATTTATAAAAATTTAAGAAATAAAAAAATTTTAAAAGTAATAAACCATTATATTAATTAATCATAAATAAATATTATCTAATTTAATTATTAAAAAAAAAAATAAAAAAAAATAATTTTAAATATATTAATAAATTTATAAAAAAACCATATTAAATATAATTTTATATTAATAATTTATAGTACTAATAATTTTATTATCTTTTAAATATAATTAACTTATTGCAAATATAATTTATTTCTAATATTTATTATTTTAATTAATTAAGATTATTAATAAATTTTCTTTTAAATATAACAATATCATAACAAATCTCAAAGATATATTATGTACCTTATAACTAAACCCACAATCCAAGAATCGAATTAATTGTCCATAGAAATCTCATAAGGAATGAAATTGCGGAAATTATTAAAGATAGAACCTTGAATGCAGTACTCACTATACCATCTCCATGGCATGACTAAATTTTTCAAGCACGTGTGAAAAAAAAAGGATAGTGATTAACCGGAAGAAACTTTATAAAATCAAGCGTAATGTGAAAATGCAATACTTCTTCATGGCCACATGATATTATTTGTATATATCTCTCAGTTTTTTCTGGCTGATTCCTTTTACAAGTGAAGGTTCTTACCGTAAAGTAATGAAATTTTGTGCCAAGTACTTTGGAGGTTCATCAAATACACTTGATTGGAATTTTGCGATTTAAGATTACTGATTCCAGTGTAATTGTTTCGAATTATTTTCCCTGTGGCTAGAAAAAAAAATTTTGGAATGGCGACGATAATGATCAAAAGACAATCAATCCTTTATACTCATCCTTGATTAACTTTTTCAGCTCAAAAACAATCCGATTAACGGCAAACGGATTCTTTTGATTTTAACTTCTGTCCCTTTATCTGAAAGGTGAAAGGTTTGGTTATTCCCCAATTATCCGCACCAAAATGAGATGAATCAAATTCGGAAATATATTTTCGCTATGTAATTAAGAACTTTATTTATGTAAATGTACAAGGAACCTTGTAATGTATTATTCTTACATCTAGCCATGAATATTTTTATGTGATGTGTAACATGCGTCTAATATAAAAAAAAAAATACTTTAGACTCTGTTGTATTATATTTATACATAATAGATCAAAGTAAACAAGTGAAAATTTTAGTCATACGAAAATAGATTGGAAATAATCTGGTGACGTGTCAATCTTTACTCGATTTTCCAATAATCCAACATTAATTTCCAATATATTTCTTTCATTGAGATTCTGCCATCAATCATAATTGATTCTTCGACTTGTACTTTTTTAAAATGATCTGCTCGGCGAAATTATAAGTATCGTGTTAGATTTAACGACAAGAAGGATACTTAGTTCAAGCTTTGCATGTCTGATATTTTGCAATGCTTCAGTTGACGAGATTTCTATACCGTAATGCAGCGAATTTCCTCAATCAAATGGTCTATGATCTTTTTAATTGCATAATCCACACGACCAGCATCAATATTGGGGAAATTTTTAAAAAGACAATAACTGATGCATGCAAAATTGACGATATGTGTTCGCATCGCATTGCTTCATCGCCATCAATTACCAGACACATGGTCTTTAACTTTCGTTTAACGTCTTCTACACAGAAACATAGGGGACTAGAATAAATAAAGAATGCATATTAATTAAGCTTGTCCGGTTTCACAGATTTTCACAGAAATACATTAACCTGGTTCGACATTTTGGTATATATGTGCTTCACTTTTCTAAGGTGTGGTACGGCGACATACTTCTTTTCGTCCTGTCCATAAACGACTTCACATCTCATGTCCGGTCCTAATGTCAAACCAGTTTAATAAGGTCAGTCTTGATGCGAGATTATGAATTATTATCACGTGAAATTTTCGTTGGGATTCCTAGGGATGGTGATAGATTGATTTTCACCAATTAAAATATTAAGGAATAAAAAAGTACAATACATGAACAATTACTCAATTCAAATGAAATTTTTTTTTTAACATAATTGTTTTTATTAGTGATTTTTGTTTCTGTATTTTTTTTTTTTTTTTAAAAAAAAAAGGCATATATAAAGAAATATGAAATATTTTAAAAAGAATTATCTTGAAAGTATAAACAATAAAAAAAAAAAAAGATATATACTGTATATATAACAATTATTAAAAAGGGGGAAAAGCTATATAATATTTTTTTTTTTTTTTTTTTTATAAAAAAAAAAATTAAAATAAAAGAACTATACAGAGCCCATATTACAATAAAATCCATAATTTTTTTTTTTTTTTTTTTTGCTTATGCAAGTTAATTATAGTTGATATATATTTTTTTTTCTAAAAAAAAAAAAAAAAAAAAAAAAAGATAACGATTCCCAAAATTAAAGTGTTCCCCAACCTCCATAAACTCAATGTCGCGATAACTCTCAACGGATTGGTATAATGAAAAAAAAGGTGTTTACGAGTTATTTCATAATTCGTGAATAATTTTATTTTTTTTGTTGTAAAAAAACATAACTCGCAACACCTCTATAAAAAAAAAATTAAAAAAGATCCGTTTCACAGGATGTTAATCAATATGAATTAAATTAAATTACTATTGATTCTCGCTATAAATCTAATAACGTGGAAATTAATAAAAAAAATATTTTTTTTTCCACAAACATAAAAAAATTGGATGTGATTCGAAATTAGTATGTCACCCTTTCGTGAACGACCGAGTTATTAATTATGGAGGAGGGGTATTAAAAAAAAAAGAAGAGAACTGTTTGTTTCATATGGGTTTGAACCTCATAAAGAGTATCAATGATAGTAAGGGACGGGAATGTCAATATATTTTTTTAGAAAAGAAAAAATTTATTCTCGACGTTAAACTATCATGAAGGCTCTTAGGAGGCATATATCCATATTTTTCGTAAACAATAGACATGGTTCTAAACAAATATCGAACACGAGTTAGTATTATTCCTTGTAAATTTTTTTCAAAAAAAAAAAAAAAATACTTTACATAGTCCATGATTTTTAATAAAAAGAAAAAGGAGTTCCGCAAGTTAAATTGAATTGTTCAACTTGCATTAAGCAAACAAGTTTTAAGCGGGAAAATATTAAGGCTTTTCGCCGAAAAAACATTTACAAGCTCTTGCCTTTATTTAATTATAACAAGAACATTAAGTGAAAAGGAAATCATTGTAAATATGGGTGGACACCAAATCATGCCAAAGATTTCAAAAATAACCAAATAGCTAGAATTTATATTGTTTGAAACATGACGTATCCATATCATGCAAGTAAAATTTTGTGGCCCAATAACACATCAACTTAAAAGGAACTCATTTACTAGCGAAACGCCAACAAGTCAAGGGGTTGCCCGTCGTGATATCAGATCGGCCAGTTGAATGAATGATAAGATGTTTGATTAGCTTTTTAAAGGAAAAGCCTCATAAAAAGGTAATCTTGTAATTTGCACTTTTCGGTTAGTGATGAGCAAGCCACAATTGCACGTGAAAAGGAACGTTTTATTTATTATTTTTTTTTTTTTTTAAAGAAGTAAATTACTGGTCGGAAGTCTCCGTTAACGTCTTTAACCTTTTTGATGTATACTCGATTGAATAATTTCCTTATATTTTTCTATAAAAGTATTACCATATAACAAATATAATACTTCTTCTTTCGCGGTTTCTAATCTATAATCTTCCGTATTGACTTTTGCGGTAACGTTTCGTACCGTTGAATCTATCACGTTAACTGCTAAATCCGCCGAAGGGACCAAAAATATGCGAAAAAATCTAAAGAAAAATGTCTTGGTCTACGTAAGCATCTCATCAAAGTATCGTGAATTGATACAATCACTGGTGATACCTACATTTCTACCCTCGTTGAGAATCGAATATCTCGTAGCATCTTCTCATCTATGAGTAAAGAAGATCAAGGATCACATACATCCCAAGGTGTACAAATATCTTGAGAAATCGCTGCATTGTCGTTTAACAAAAGATTATCGATTTCGATAGATTCATAATAATAATATCTAAGGATTCTTCTTTTTAAAAATTGATATTCATCTCCAAGAACTTGTGAAAATCTCACCCATCGTTCTTCTCTCATTGATCGTATGACCGTATAATCGGAATGAGGATCGTGATCACATGACTAAACACAAGGGCGGTTGGTAACCACATGAGAGGTCTCCAAATGGAAACACAGTAAGCCACAAGAGATAAAATGCAAAGCAGCAGATGAAGATGCAAAAAATATCCCTTCGAAATCCATAACTTTCTTCAATTGCTCTAAGAAAATAATACAAAATGAGTTCACCTGTAATGTACATTCTTTTTTTGGATCCTTGGTGGAGAATTCATCTAAAGAAATCTAAAAAAGGAAAAGGGGAGAGATTAGAACACTATTTTTTTAAAACAAACAAATAAATAAATAAATGCGCACCGTAATTCCCATTAATGCGATTACAAAAAAAATCCGAAAACAAACAACCCGTAACACAACACTTTATCAGTTGTATATTTTTTTTGCTTTTGATACCATTTCAAACGTTCCTTTATGGTCAAATTCTTTAAACTGTTCCAACATTAGAGTAGGTATTTGTTCTCCAAGTTGCATCTAACACCGCGTAACTTGGTTGTGCTAAAAATATCAGACGTAATCCACGAATAACAATTACTAACAGGTATATTACAACAGATAAATAAACGTTCCACAATATAACGTAGCAAGGAAATGTATCTTTATAAAATCCATTATAAATCACCATGTCTTTGATTTGTTTCCGACGATGATAAAATAAATATGTGGTAATCACCAAGAAAACTGCGATCAAAATCCAAGAATATACAGTATACAAAAATTGTAGCCATAATTTGGTCTCATTATTTAAATCAAAGTCTTTATCTGAGAGAGAATAGAGAGAGTGTGTGAAAGTGAGTTTGAGAAAATATAAGTCCACACTTTTGCAAATTTCAATATTTATATGTACAGTCCTTGAGGTCAATTATAAATATATAATTCTTACATGGCTCAAAAAGTGAAATTGTGGTAATGTTTGGTAACGAAAAAGATAGATTCACTGACGCGTATTTATAGGATAGAAGAAATGACTAAAAATTTTGTAAAAGTAACTAATCAATGAACCAAACCATTAATATACTTTTGATGTTTCGTTTTTCTCGGATGTGTTTCATGTTTGTTACATGATCGTCTATAATTCGCGATCTTCCTCATTTAATGAATCAATCTACGTAATAATGCTTTGCCCCAATTCTTAATTTTCACAACACAATTCGAAAATTATTATTCCACCCGCAGTAAAACTTATTTATTTTATAATTTATTCCAAACATAACTTTATATTGGGTATAACAATTAATTGTTGTCAGATTTCATAATGCATACACAGGGCTTTATATATTCATATACAAAAATTCCTTAATCTTAAAACATGTTCGTAACGTGATTTTTTTTTTAGTTATAACCGAAAAATTTTCGTAGAATGGTGTTAACCATTGGACTTAAGGACTCAGGTTCGTGTTGATATGCAGTCTAAGAAATTTTAAGCAAGTAAAAAAAATTAATTATGTTGGTGAAACGAGTGAACGGCCTACCACCACCATTCTTACCATGATTATACCCATGGCCACGGAAAAGAACCATACATCTGCCGTTCGATGTAATTCAAATATCCAATTTTTTTGACACATGATCTTGTACCAAGATTCTGCGGCCTTTGGTAATACGTATAAAGCTAAATCTGCCCTTCGGTTTTTATGTTCAATGAAAATGGCGAGTGCTGAACTAAATCCGGCCCACCAGTATAAATATTTAGAATCCCACTTTACATTGAAATATTTGATGATATTACGATGAAGGCATATGTGAGACTGGTAACTTGCTACGAAAGTGGCTAGAAAGGTGCTTGATCGTATCGTGTTGAAGGTACTTTTTCGAATAAGTGCCGTGGGACTTTTTGTTTTAAAAAAAATAAGAAAAAATATGATAAATGATAAGCAATTATAAAATTAGAATTAATGATAATGATTATTGCATACTCTTTGGCAAGTTGCTGGAATTTGAATGCTATCATTGGAACGAAATTAAGTGTGGCGTATACTGGTGCAATCCTTCGAAAAACTTGATAAAATCGTTCAATATTTGTATATACACATGAATCAAATTTCGGATGTACTAGTTCGCTAAAACAAAGAAACAGGTTTAATAAGAAATTAATTATGATTATTTATATTTTGTACAGAAAACGAAAAAATGATGAGTAGGTCTACCAAGGAATTGTAACTGGTCGCGGGGATAAATTATAGGCTACCTCGAGGGCATTTTTCGTTCCTTTTAATGATTTAACAAGGTTAATCGCGTCTTCCTTATTCAAAGTCAAGTTTCGTCTCAAGTTGAAATTCATATCCAATGTTTTCTTTGGAACGCGTGCTGTTATTATCATAAAGTTCAAAAAGTCTTTTGGTATGGTGTTAGGTCGCATCTATAAAAAAAATTTCGTGTCGAGAACAATTAAATATGGATAATTTTTTAAATTCAAAAAAGTAAACGAACAATTAAACAAACATACCGTATAAGCATAAAGAACTTGTGCAGTCGTTAAGATAAAAAGTAAGGCGTCTCCATGAGGGATTCGAAAATATTCACGCGCGTGGCCCGCATTGTAAAGAGCTTGTAACGCGCTGATTTGAAAACCCGACAAACTAATTACTAAATTAAATCAATTGAGGGAAAATAAAAAAAAGCCAAAATGTCTTACCGAACAAATAACTGTTGCGCGATAGAGATTCGTCTCTCTCGTTTTTCTGCCAATATGGAAATACCAGCAATGGAACCTTCCAAATTTTCGCATGTCATTATTACATTCTATTCGTCTTTAAGAAAAGCTCATGAAGATAAAATACCTGCAACAAATCCATTCCAATGATCGTCTTTCTTTCTGACATATCGCAACCCATTATTGATAAGCTTCCATAAAAACGAAAATCCACCAAATGATACACCAAATCGCACGGCGTCCTTTCCGAAAAATCCATGGAGGAACGCCTTATATATCTTATATATAGATCCTTTCCTATCAAGAAAAGCTTACGTTACGCAAGCCATGCATTTTTATATCATTTCAAAAATAAAACGTGACTACCTTTTCCGGAATACTGTTAATAAATTTAATAGGAAATTCACACCACCACGAATGCCGTGCGCCATTACATAT